AATTCATCACGTAGTTCATTTGTAGGTCATCATGAGAATCGTTAAGGCTATTAGTATTTGTACTTTAGTCATGAAGTCGAAAATATAAATATTCATCTCCACACATTCATATCCATATAATAAATCTTTGGTGCAAAACAAGCATAACACTAAGCGACTATACTTCATATCTGTTTGACTATAAATTTAGGATACTTTCATCTCTTCAATGAATCAGACTGCCAGAAATATGGTGCTGAACACTAATGTTTGGGTACAGATTGAGAAATGAAGCTATGAAATGTACGCACTCTCTAAGTGCAATTGCATCCGAGATGAATTGCGCTCTGGTCAACTCGTCAAACGCGTTGAAATCTGAGCGAAGTTGGGCTCGAATTGGTGCCCATGTACTTTCATCATACCATACACGATACATACCCTTCAACCTTTGGTGATCAGATTTATTTTAACCACTAGAAAATTATGGAATCGCAGGAGCTGAATCTTGCTCGTGACAAACGAATTCGTTGCTCTAAAGTCTGCAAGGGCTAGGAAATACGATGAATTGAAGCAGTTTGGTTCCGTTTCAACCTAATGAATGTCAAAAAAATGAAGGAAAAGCTCGTACGACGCTTCCAGGGTTCTCCACTCNGGTTTCGAGTCCAATGTTGGTCAGCCGTGAAATAGCGAAACTCGTGTCCTACAAAGTGCAATTGAAGTTTGCTTGTGATAAATTTCAGAAATGATAAATTTGCTAACAGAAGCAAAACCAACAAAGAGTGGGGAGCCTAACCCGTTTCGGTTATGCTGTGCACAGGAATTGGCCACAGATATTGCCACTGACTCGGAGCAAGCGCCGATAGATTGCTGATGAACGGTTCTTGGCTGTATGTAACCACATCATTCGAGGTGGTTAACTTCAGAATCGGATAATTTTCCTGGAATGCGGATAATCCAAGTACTAAGTTGCAGTACTAACTATCTGTACAGATACTCCGTAAAAATTTCACTAGGAGACAATTGGACGATCATAATACTGAGCGTTAATATGCAGCAAGAATGACGCATGGTCGTGAAAGCACTACTCAAACGAGGACTATCCTCAAAGATAACCTGTTTGGTCCATGGATCCATAAGAGCTTGTACATCCAATGGCTTGTTATCCCATCCCATCAAGTGATTGTCTG